ATAGCGACAATATCTTCCAATAATTAAAATAAATTTGTATTTTTTTTAAATAAGAGTAAATGCACCAATCAAATCAATGTATGGTTTATATATATAACTAAATTTAATATGCGGAATGCAATGACACACTCGGCTCAAGAGGCACTTTCCTTAATTGTATATCTATTAATTATAAACATATAAAAGAGTATGAGAAAATTGTCCGTTTGTCTTATAAATACGTATACGTATACCACTTCGAGCCGAGTGTACAACAACAATGGCACTACTGAGGTTTCCTTATACTTTTATGAGAAATTTTATATTAATATGCACAATAAACACATATTGTAAAAATGGACTATTTAAGAACGTTTACTGCCTAAGTCTCGCAACTTTTTATTTTATTTTATGTATTTAGAATGCAAACATATTGGCCAACTACCTGATAGAAAGTGCAACTGTTATCTTTAGTTCTTTTTTTTTATGGATTTTCTATTGTTTTTATATCGATTTTATTTGGGCGTTACATGACGTATAGAGACATAGCGAGATATTTTGTTTGATTGGTATTCTAATTACAAAATATACTTTCCTTATTTTTTTATATTTATTTATTGAGGAATTTTAGCTATAGCTTGTCAGATGCTTTAGTACTACTACTACTAGCACTGCGACCCATTATAGAAGGATATTCTTAGGAGCGATGGTTTGTATTTATTTCCGAAGGACATATTTCGTTTATGTATGAGAGGGCTACAACCACATAAGATGTGTAGTGGCGTTTACTATCCTTAACAGCGAGACTTGGGCGCCGAACACTCGCACTGTCCTTCACTAGTATAATATAATAGAGAGAGAGAGAGAGAGAGAGATGAATAATTTTAATTTTGTATAAATTGTCTATAATTATTGCATATAAACATGTGACGTATTATAATAATATAACAAATGTACAATTTACAGCACTAAAAACACCGTTGGTATCTATTCATCTCTACAATACAAGGTGGGTAACAGTTTAATGACAAACATTTGTAAGTCATGTTGGGTTTGGGAGCTACGTAGCTACAAACACACACGTCACTCTTGAAGGATAATTTTGTTGGTGTTTGTAGTTGAATGACAAACATTTGTAAGTCATATTGGGTTTGAGTGCTACGTAGCTACAAACACACACGTCACTCTTGAAGGATCTATCTGTTGGTGTTTGTAGCTTAATGGCAAACATTTGTAAGTCATATTGGGTTTGGGAGCTACGTAGCTACATACATACACGTCACACTTGAATTATATTTTTGTTGGTGTTCGTATTTTAATGGCAAACATTTGTAAGTCACATTAAGTCCTAGTCTACCTATGAATACGTCACGATCCTTACTATCTACATCATATAAAATTACAAACAGTGAACGTAACTTGTGTATAATTACAATAGTATACAAATTATCAAACAAGCTTTTAATACATTCCATTTGGACGTATATTTACAATAAGATACCAAAGGATATGTTGGAATTACCCTTAAATAAATTCAAAACATCTGTTAAATCATATTTACTGAGCAAAGCCTATTACTCACTAAACGATTACTTGAATGACGAGTGTGCATGGCAATAGTTGTTCATGCACTGAATTTTCATTTAATGTTAGACATAGACACCTATATAAATATACATTGTAAATAAACTGGCTTTAAAAAAAAAAGTAATTCAATTGAGTTTCTTGCCAGTTCTTGCTATATACCGAACTGGACGGTAAATTATAATGTAAAAATTTGACGTTCATAAGCGGCTAAAATGTCCTACATGAATAAATGATTTTTGAATTTGCATTTGAATATATCTTTAAATATAGAAAGAAAGTGAGATATTAGACGCTGTGCATGCACCTTTTTGTATATCTGATCCTATTCGATCGATCCCCCGTCCAATTCAAACGGGGATCGAAATTACGACGGCCTGAGCCGATGTTCGAACCCCTAGCGGTGCCCTCAGACTAAAGTCGTATCCGTCAGGCAGGAGTTGGTCTGCAGCCGCTCCAAAAGTCTTTCCGCGGGTTTGGAGTGCCATCTGTACTGGCGCCCTATCGTTCGGTGTAGCTGTAAAGGCCAGCTGTGGCCAACTTTTTATATATAGTTTGTTTTTTATTATCTACTAATTTTAAAGTAAAAATGTAAATTTTTACGATTTTCTTATAATTTTTTTCCCCAATTGAAATGTAATTTCACAATATAATGAATTGGTATACTAAGAAAGAAGGAATCACCATGAAAATATAAAAGAGAATCGTAAATGGTAATAGAATAAATTTAAAAATGGCACAGGCCTTGTCTATGGTTATACATAATAATATTAAAAAAAAATCGTCCAAATGGAATACCTGTATAAACAATTGACGGAGCGGAACGCTACGCAGTCTTGTGACGAAGGCACGGGGACCACTACATGCCACCAACTATTCGCGACCACACTAAAATAATCACCTCTCACATTTATATATCAGTATGTAACATTATATATGTATATATATATATCAGGGGTGGATCTACCTACGGGCTTTATGAGCTGCAGCCCAGGGCCGTGGATATAAAGGTCCCCTACTGAAAACAATAGGGCGGTATTTAGATAAATTATCTATGATATTAAAAAACTTATCATAAACTTGACAACCCTGAGATTAATCAACCCATCGATGTGCGCGTCTATCGAACGAAACGGGAAATTCCCTGTCGCTTGTTTTTGGTCGGTATATTTTTTTAGTTGAGTGATATAATTGTACCCAATGATCAGCTGGTAGAGAATGCATTATGGCATTAAGCTCGCCAATTGTACATTATTTTAGATAGTGCAATAAAGGATAAATAAATAAATAATTAGGTAGGCCCTTAAGTCAGTCAGTCGTCAGGACCCCACAAATTCACGATCCTCCCCTAATACATATATATGTATATATATATAATGTAAAAGTCTTTACGACCGTTTCCCCAGATGGGGTATATAAGACACAAAGTATACAGAAACATACGAAAACGTATTTAATATATAACAAACAATTATTGCATATACTAGTGTATATATACGAGTACTAGGTACATTACATATATATGTAATGTAGTTCCTGGCCAAGACCTAACAATTTAACGAAATATAAAAAAACGATTTTGCTTTTTATCTACTTGATTGAGAAATTTAAATCTTTTGATCATAGACGAAGTCTGTATGGGCAACCGCATGTGCCTGCTTACTGTGCAATACACAATTGCCTACACATGCAATTTCTTAATTTTAAACTTTCGTGTTTAATATACATTATTTAAATTATTAACCGGGTCTTAACAGGAATAATTTTATGGCAAATAAAGGTTTACCTCTCTCGACGTTTCGACTAGGTTGCACTAGCCGTGGTCACGAGCTGACTGTTAATAATTTAAATACATGCAATTTCACCTCATTATATTTATTTTAGTAATAAAAATCAGTGTTCGAGTAACATTCAACCCAAACATTCTTTGGTCCTTCGACGCCGGATCAAAGAATGTGGGGGTTTAAGCCCACAGTTCCGTGATAAAGCTATTGATTGATTGATGAGGGGTTTTTGTTAAAGAAAACCGCATAGGTTGAATGCTACTCGAATACTGGTTTTTGTTACTAAAATAAATATATTGAGGTGAAATTGCATGTGTAGGCAATTGTGTATTGCACAGTAAGCAGGCACGTGCGGTGCCCGTACAATGTCATTTGATTTACATTTTTTTTTACCAAATAAATATCTATTTTTGAACATTCGCATGACGGAGTAGAAACATTAATAATATTAATATATAAAATAATACATATCATAAACATATACATTCTACATAATATATAAATACATAACTTATAAAATAAATATAGTTGAACGGAACTACTTTATGGTAAATACTTTTATTTACCATAAAATTATTCTTGTTTACCTATATTAATAATTAAGTAAATAATAATATTAGAGTATTTTAAAAATCGTCATGAATACTTGCAGACTTAATTGTCAATTTTTTTTTATACATATATTAGTTTTTTTAATTGAGTAAAATTTATAATATCGTATAATATAATAATTTTAAGTCACCGTTTTAATTTTATATAAATTTCAATATTAAGCAATAGTTATATTAAAAGGCGAATAAGTATATTCAAAGGTTACACTTTAAATTGGAAAAATTGCTTATATTTCTTTAATATTCAATAAATATGATATTATAATGAATTTATTAGACTACTAAATACCAAAATAATATTTCAAATATCGAATTTCGTATATTCGGTTTTTTATTAATAATCTATGTTTATAGGATAAAAAAAATGTCATCTCTCGCGTAAAGTGTATCGAAGCCTTGATCTCCTGTAGTGCACATTCTATGTGTATTTACTAATGTATAACAATGTATTTACTAATGTATATATGTATAACAACAACAATTGTATATCAACTAAGCTCACGGCACTAGAAGCAAGCCTGGACTTATTAGCATTTATCTATAATAACTCCTTAATTATTGATTTTTTAAGAAAAAAAAACATAATGTTAAGGATGTTTGATATATTCACGTCAAAGACTAATAATTTAAAAATGTACTGTATGTAATTGTTGGCGGGAAAATGTCTTTACTCTATGGACGTAATTTGACGATTATTTATTACCTTATTAGTGTGGAGATATTCTGTGCTTTCTAAATACATAAATAATAAGTCTTTATATATTCTTGCTGTTTATGTCTATGACATTTTTCAGTTTAAGGGCTAGTCGAGCACAGTTACTATATATTTAATAAATGGTCAAGATGCGTCCTTCTAGCGCCGTGAACATTTCAACATGGCAAGAGTATTGTTTGTAATAGATTAGGGAGCTATTGACTATTTAACGAAAATATTGAGCACTTATTTACACTTAAAACGAGTTCGAAAACCAAATGGTTAAATTACGTAATTGAGAACAAAAATTAAAGGTAAACTTTATTATTAAAAAAGTTTACATTCTTTAATTTTCTCTCTCAAGGTTAATAAATTATTAACCTTGAGAGTCATGGCTAATGGCAACACAAACCGCCTGAGCCAAAAAGAGAAAAAAAACCTTAAGAGTCGCCCTCCTATATGTGTGAGCGAGATAGAAGACATCTCTACTATTATTTTGCACGTCTATTTATTAGCTCAAATTGGTTAATAAATGAGATAGAAGACGAGGTAGTTATTATATCTTAAAAAAATATTACATATGGCCAATTCCATTTGGTTTTAGCTACTCGGTACAGACTAACAATTTTATCTTGAATCGCCTTTGTAATTTATAAAAAAATAATGGCCTATAATAAAAAAAAAACAGTCCTTTTTAAGTAAACAGTTTCAGTATTTATAGTATTCATATAACTCGTTCTACCGGCGAACTTTCTTCCGCAGTGCCCTTGGATTTTTCCTGCACTGTCTTCTCCAGATTCCTCGCTTTACTGTTAATTTTCAGGTTTGCGAGGCTGACGTAATTACTCCTCGATATAGTAACATCTCTCCTCTTCGGTACATCCTCTTTCTTCTCCATTACATTCTTATTCTTCTCCAAAACAGGCGTTAAAACGGGCACATTATTATTCTGAGGACTTCTTAAGAACGGAGCTAATTTACTTTTATCCAACGCATTTATTGGCGCTTTGATCCTGTTGCGACCGACATCCATAAATTTAGGCTCTTGAAGTTTACCGTCATACTTGGAACGTCGGTCTCGATAGCTGAACCGACCGTCAGCGAAATCAGGCTTCTCTGTAGGAAGGTGCCGTCTGAATATTGGCGTCATAGGTTTTCCTAGACTGGCCAATTTTATGTCGCTTTTTAGGACGTCACTATCGTTTCTTAAGTTAGGTTTCCTATCTCTATCCTCGGAGGGTCTAACTTTATATGATCGGCAGATATTACTAGGCGACGATGGTCGGTGTACAAAGAAGTTACTCCTAGATTTCTCCTCCTTACTTTCACAATTGTCAGGTTTATTTCTGGTAACGTCAGGGCCAAATAACCTACTTAACTTTGGCGACAACAATTTCTTTGTAAAGAAACCAGTCTTTTCAGGCTGTTTCTCTCGTGCTAAAGTCTTTGGAATGTTCTTCACGCCTTCCGCCATTACGGGGCTTTTGGTTAAAAAGTCTATGTTATACCTCCTGCAATCCGCTTCTGGAATCTTCCTTTCTCCTTTCAAACACTCAGGGTTCCTTAACGAAATGTCTGTAACGTCATAACTAGATTTTTTGGCTAACAGATTCTCGCCTTTCTTCATTAACCCCGCAAGGATGTTTTTCGATTGGTCCACATCCATTCTTTCTACCTTTTGGAATGTACTAACGTTCTTGTGCCAGTCTGCGATGTCAAGATCGTCATCATCATCGTCAGACGAATCAGAATCATCATCTCGGTGGACTTCACAATCATCTGGAATGCTTATGTGTCTACAGATAGGTAGGGGAGGCTCCATATCATGTTTGGATTTACTCTCCAGACCTTCGACGGATTGGTTACGGAGGAAACAGGGGAGGTTACCTTCAGCGTTGTCGTCCACTTTTCTGGTCTTGTTGTTGTGGTCCAGGGTGATGGTGTTAAGCTGCGAGTCGGGGCTGGTCCGTTTCAGTGGAGGGGGTGAGTCCAGCCACTCACTTATGTCATCGACCTGTAGATTAAATATTTGTAAACTGTCATTGAGGGTATATAGAGAAAATTTAACGGTTGAAGTTACCAAAGTAGAAGCAGGAAGGACTTTTGTTCTCAAATGAAATCAAAATCTATTATGACATGAAAATCTACCGTCAGTTCGGGATGCTTTCGAGATGAAAAGAGCTGACAAACTCAGCTCGTATTGTTTTCAAATATTGTTTATAATAATACAGATTCATTTTTAAATTCAAATTTGGGAGAATAGAGTGACCACCAGCATATATTATAGTAATTTTATCTATTTCTATTACTAAGTATTTATTTTGTAAGTCATGCTTCGGTTGTAAGGTGATATATGGCAGTGAATTGTTAGGATTAAAGAGGTCAGACCTCTTTAATTCTTCGGAATAAGCAATATATCGATATCATGGTTGTCAAATGATAAAGTGATGTCTGTATGTGGCGTAGTGGGAACATTGATGGAAATGGAAAGATTTATTATGTGGGCAGTCAGCTAGTTTGTCATTCCAAGAATAACAAATCTACAAGTAAGTAATATAACTCTGCAATTGTATTATAACACAATTAACCTTATTCTGATAAATTATAATTTATCAGAATAAGGTTTGTATGAAAGAATATACTCGGCGAATCGTTTATAAAACTGAAAACGTCTTAAATTGTAATCATACTGTATATGTAACACGGCGGATGTGTCCGGCCGACACGCACTTGTCTCGAGTACAGTATAGAGCGGTGAGAGTGCGGTACCTTGGTGATGTCGATGGTGTTGCCGCGCGCGCGCAGGATGTAGCCGGCGGGCAGCGCGGCGTGCGAGCGGCTCAGTGACGTCACGCGCGGCGCGGTCCGCGCGATGTGTCCGGCCGACACGCACTTCCCGAGCGCGCGCCCGCCGCCCGCGCTCCGCTCCGGGGACGAGATCCGCACGGTCGATTTAGACTGTCACCAATCGTGTTTTATAGTAAGAACCCAGGATATTTCAAGCAGGCGCTGTTTCTAGTCCCAAACTGAGCGAGACTTGCTATGGGTACTAAACGACTCACAAAAATACTTAAATGTATTCTTTTTTGTAAATACATACATATTACAAATATAGATCCCGTGAAAAATTTCAGAAACAAACAACCGTGAAATATGAATATTTGAACAGAAGACTCGAACTACGACGACTACAACGACAATTTTAAACCTAATAATATACTAAACATATATAAATTAATCCTTTATCAAATTTGGTTAAAAATACACTAAATGTACCTTGACGATTCCATCGACGACAATATAGTCCCCGCTGAGTTTGCTGGGCGAGCGCTGCAGGCGGCGGCCGGAGCAGCCCCCGCAGCCCGAGCCGCCGCCGCAGCCCGAGCAGGTGCAAGGCTCCGCCCCGTAGCGCTCGATGTCGGCCAGCAGCGCCGCCGTACTGCCGCCGCGGGACAGCTGCTGCATCAGGCTCTCCAGCCAGATCTCTATCACCTCGAACGTTGGCCTGACGGAACATTACGTACTGGTAAAATCTATACCTATATTAAGGGTCACACATTTTTTTACAAACAAATAGAATTGAAGTATTTTTTATAATTTCAAATTAAAGGCTTTTCACTAAATTCATATGGTATACGGCACTTACATTAAATATTTTTTAACCCCTTTTTGTCGAATACACTATATGGTTTCAGGAAAGGCTGTAGAAATAAATATTGGTAGTTACTATGGGTACTTTTATATCCTTGCGACTTAGGATGCCCATTCCGAGTAATCCTGTATATACATAAAAGAAATGAAATGACTGTGATGACACTGAGCCACTAGACCACCGAGATCAACATTGATTGTTGCGGTGGTGAGGTACTACGCTGGTGGGGTACATATATACCTGCAGTCGGGCTCGAGGTGGCAGGCGAGGAAGGCGACGCGGTAGAAGGGCTCGGGGCAGGCCTGCGCGGTACAGAACTTCTCCACGAAGGCCGCCTCGTTGGTGACGTAGTCCGTTAGTGGGTACATATATACCTGCAGTCGGGCTCGAGGTGGCAGGCGAGGAAGGCGACGCGGTAGAAGGGCTCGGGGCAGGCCTGCGCGGTACAGAACTTCTCCACGAAGGCCGCCTCGTTGGTGACGTAGTCCGTTAGTGGGTACATATATACCTGCAGTCGGGCTCGAGGTGGCAGGCGAGGAAGGCGACGCGGTAGAAGGGCGGTACAGAACCTCCACGGCCGCCTCGTTGGTGACGTTCCGTTAGTGGGTACTCTCGGTTATACTGGCCGCGCGGTATCTGCGTTGGTGACGTATGCGCGCTGAAAAGCGCATTCTCTTGATCCCACGAAGGCCGCCTCGTTGGTGACAAATTATATCAACTCCACCAACCCATGTCCCCTCTCGGTTATACTGGCCGACTCTCGCGCTGAAAAGCACGCATTCTCTGGGGCAGCGGACGAAACTTGGACGGCTTCGGTGCCGGGCAGCTCTCCGTCTTCAGCGGTGTCCTTCCTTCTTGAACGCGTACCACCAGCAGTCCTCTCGTGCTCGCTCCGCCTCCGGTGCCACTGATGCGCGAACTCCCGCAGCCTCCTAAAATTCTCCGCAGTAGACACCAGGTCCGGGTAGTACACCGGACCCTCCCCTTCGCCTTCACCGCGACGTATCCCCTCCAACAGCTTCCCCCTGAGATCGGAATATAGGGAGCACTCCCACACAACGTGGTGGAGGTCCTCGTCCGATTCCCCGCAACCACAGCCACTCGACTCGTAGAGTCTCATGGCGTGCAGTCGCTTACCGAAGCAGCCGTGTCCAGTCAGGATCTGTGACGTCTCGTAATCGGGTTCAACCCACGGAGACGCCAACCTAATAGCCACATCCGGAAAGTATCGGTAGAGCTCTCTTCCATCCGCGGAGGAGTGCCAACGCTCCTGCCATTCCCCGACTATAGCGTCCCATACCCCGCGTTTCCGTCTGCTCAACTCCGGCTTTGGCGCGGACTCGCGCTCCTCATCCATTCTGGCAGCACGGATTACCTCCAGGTCCGCAGGCAAGACCCCCCCCAGTACTGGTAGCGCCGCCGTACTCACGCTCCTGTACGCTTTCGTAAGGAGGATGAGAGACGGTCGCTGCAGCCTCAGGACTATACTACGTACGACATGGAGACTGATTCTCTCATGCCATACGGGTGCAGCATACGTCAACGTGGCTACGTAGGTGCCCTTGTAGAGAGTGCGGAGGGCCGGATAACGAATGCCCCAGGAAGACGCCGATACTCTCGACATCTTCCCGAAACATTTGGCCGCTCGCTCTCCAATCGTTGTCGCATGCTGCACGAAGGACATCCTGTCGTCTAGCGTCACTCCAAGAATGGTTGCCGCCGTGACGGTCCGGACCGAGCCGGCACCCATCCTGATGACTGGGGGCCGCTGGAGCTTTCCCTTTACGGTCATCGTCATGGACTTGCCTGGGGAGAACTCCAGCCGATTACGGGCTCCCCAGTCGAGGACGAGCGAGAGCGTGGCTTTCGCCTTGCTCTCGATGCTCGCTCGGGAGTCGGCACCGATCAGGACCGTAACATCGTCCGCGTACGCAACCATCCTTACTCCCTCAGGTAACGGGAGACGAAGCAGGTCATCCATCAGTAGGTTCCATAGCGTGGGACCCAATACCGAACCTTGTGGACATCCCATGGTGCATTCCTTCCACAGCACCTGGTCACCGGTGATGAGGCACACGCGGCGACCAGCGAAGTAGCCCGCCAGCATCCTGAAGATGTTGGGCGGGCAACCACCCTGTTTCGCCTTTACCAGAATCATCGGCCACCAGGCGTTGTCGAAGGCACCCGAGATGTCGAGGAAGATGGCCTGTACATACTTCCATGGTTCATGCCGCGAGTCTAAGATAGCCCTAAGCGCGGAGGTGGTGGACCTACCGGGAGAGAATCCGTGCTGACAGTCGGAGATCCGAGAACTGATCGTCGGAGCGCTTTTCAATATTACGCGTTCTAAAATCTTTCCAAAGACCGAGAGGAGCGTGATCGGACGATACGCCTTCGGGTCGGTCAGCGGCTTGTCGTTACCCTTAGGCAGGACAAGCAGCCGACCTTCCTTCCATATGCCGGGGAAGATACCGGCTTCTACGCACCGCGCATAGACGAAGTGGAATTCGGCTTCCGCCGCCTTCCACGCCTGTCTGATTATTCGGGAAGAGAGCCCGTCGAGCCCCGGGGCGGTATTGGGTAGCAACTTAATGATGCTTCCCAGATCCTGTCTAGATAGAGGGGGCGCAGAGTCGCCCGAGGGCGTGAGCGCAGCCAGTACGCGCACCTGACGGTGGTGCTCCGTGTCCCTAGACTGATCGTCATCAGGACACAGAGCCCCAACAATTGCCCGCATGGATTCGCCCACGTCCCTCGCGTGGCCTTCAGCAAACACTGTGCCGTTTATTATATTACTGGGAGGTCTAATCCTCCCGCTCGCAACCCTGTAGGCCTGGCCCCAGGGGTCCTGGTTGCCAGAGCCTGCCAGGTGCCTAAAATGTGACCTCTGCACCTCCTCCATTCTACGTCGGTAGCGCAGGCGCGCTTCCCGATGAGCCGTTCCGGTGTCAGCCTCCACTTGTCCACCTCTATGCCTAGACGCCTGCCAACGTCTCCTAGCTCTGGCTGCGATCCGCCGCAGATCATCAAGCTCAGGGGTCCACCATTCGTAACCGGTATTTCCCCGGCCACGCTTCTCCCCCAGGCATTCTCTGGCACATCTGCTGATCACGTTGGTGAAGGCAGAGGCCAGTTCCGCCGGGGGGAGAGCGGTGCAGAGGTCACCCATACGAAAGTGAACCCGCCTACGGAAGAGTTCCCAATCCACATTCCGGTCCCGATACCTAGGGGGATTTTTAACCGGCTCTGCGCACGACGCGAGCCGATCGCCACACTCGTCGATGCGGTACACAATGAGCCTGTGGTCGCTGCAGCTCACTCCTTCAAGGACCCGCCACTCGGAGAGCTTCACCCCCCTCGTCGATATGGTAATGTCAATGTTTGACTCACCGTTTGGGCCACAGAAGGTTGCTGGGTGGCCCGGTGAGTTCCATATGACGAGGTCGTGGCTCAGGATGAAGCCCTCCATAGCCCTTCTCCGGTGCTCCGCCTCGTGTCCGCGCCCTGTGTAGTGCCGTGGCTCAGAGTGCCACATCGGCGAGTGGGCATTGCTGTCCAGCCCAATGAGGACTCTCCTTCCGCGGAGTTCCTGCAGCACGCGTTCAAGATGGTGCAGGTGGCGGTCGATGGGCTCGGCGTACTGGAAGTACGCCGACACGACAAATAGATCTAGGGCCGCAATGTGCGCCACTGCACAGTGCTCCGAGCAGAGGTCCGACTGGGATGCGGCGCTCAAGGAGTCGGCTCCAAGGAGGATGCCAGCCCTCGGTTGGTTACCCGATTGCACCGCCATGAGCGGTGCCTCCGGGTCAACCCAGGCCCTCGAATATTGTTCTTGAGTAAGAACAATACCGAGGCCCAGGCCCCGCGCGATGGCCGGCAGCTCCCTGGTGGCCAACTCCGAGCCGCCCGCATTGATCTGCCCGAAGGTAATAGCATGTCGTTCAGGAGCCATATTCTGTGGTATGGACGGCCCGTTGCTCGGCGTGCAGGCGCGCAGGACAGGTCTTGGCCATTGTGGCGTGTGTCGCGGCGTCTCCTCGCCCGAAGCGATGACATGTCGCGCAGCGGCTCTCCTCAGACTTGCACCCCGATCGGTCGTGCCCCGTACTTCCGCACCGTCCGCATGTCTCCTCTTTGGCCCTACAGTACTTGGCCGGGTGGCCGTACTGCTGGCACTTGCGCAGCACGTCACATCTACATAGTCTGTAGGTGTGATGACGTCCCACCCTACGTACAGTTTGTCCCTCCTGATGAGCGCTCCCCTTAGTGACGGACTGCACCGAAGCACCACAGTAGTGTTGCTGCTGCCCCTCCACGATTTTTTGAAGGCAACCTCGCTGTGCCTCTTTATCTTTTCAGTGGTCCAGCCTTCTTCCTCCATGTTTTGGGCTGCGAGGTTGCCAATTAGCTCTTCCGAGCAGATGTCGGAAGAGAAACCTCTCAAGGCCACTAGAGGCCGCCTAGCCTTTGGCTCGGTGACCCGTAGGGTCGGCGGGGCAGCCTCCTTCAAGCGGGCAGCAGCTTCCTTATTGGTGGTCTGTACAACCACCCCTGCATTTCCGACTTTGCGGACATTCGCCACCTGCAGCTGTAGTGTCGCCGGGCTGACTACTTTCTTGAGTAGCCGCTTCGTGTCTTCCGCAGTCCTGATCTCTTTGCTGCCTCCTCTGTGGGGTAGAAGGCCAGGACTGGTCCCGGCGCTGCGATCCTTGTTGGGTTCTTCTGTACAGCCGCCATGTTTTGGTGCAGTCTCAGTTTAGAGGCATAAGTCTCCGTTTGGGCTGCCTTCACCGTTGGTCCTTCCATGTGTGTCGCCGAGGTGCTCTCGATCTTCCTGAGCTTTTCGTGTGCCAATTGAAGCTCTGCCTCAGCGACTCTCAGATCCAGTGCACCCACAACTGCGATTACTTCCTGCCCCAATATGCTGATGGCGGCTGTGTCCGATTTATTGAGTTTGCTGCCCGGCCCTGTAATGACAGCCATGATGGCTGCCATATTTTTCCTGGCGACCTCTAGCAGCTCCAGCTTCGACGCCGTTGCCACATTGAGGCCGCCAGCAGTGGGCTCCTGCTGCAGCGGCTGCTCTGCTGGTCCTCTTGTCGGCTCCACAGTAGACCCCTGCCGGGGTCGCGGCTCAGGCTGGCGAGGCGCCGGGGCCGTTACACTTTTCTTCAGAGGTGGGCCCAGCGCCCCTGCCTGCAGGCCAGCGACCGGGGGGGCGTCAGATTGCCGCTGCTGCTGCGTCCGAACTGTAGGCCGCCGTCGCTCCACCGCCGGCTTGCTTCGGCGCGGGCCCGCATCATCAGGCGAGGTGAGCGGCCTCTTCGCCGCCGCCGTGCGGGGCGGCGAGTCAGCCCTGCCCGTCGAAGCCGCCCCCGAGCCCGCCAGGCCCAGCAAATCAGCCTCAGCCAGACCCGGGGGATCTCTGCTAGGCGAGCGCGGGGGAGGGGTGCGGCAAATCGATTTCCGCGGGAGGAAAGGGGACCCGTCGTCCTCCTCCTCCATTGTTCACCGGAATTTTTCCCCAATTTATGGGAACACAAATTTCCCTAAAATCGGGGAGTTTTCAAAAATTTTCCACTGTCCACACCGTGTTCCTAAAGTTGCCACTTATAATATCACAAAAACTGCACTGAAAAAATTTTGTCCTCTGGCAACCGCGCATGCACCGCTGACAGACGCCAAATCGGACCGTCAAGTGTGCACGACAGTCGGTCTGAGACCGTATCTGTCAAACACACTGACAGGCGACGGGCGACGTCTGTCAAAGGCTATCCGTCAGTCTTCACAGCGACGCATGCCTACCACATGGGCACCGCATGGCGCAACTGTCTTAACCTAAAAATGTATTGTTCTAACCTAACTTATGCTACGAATAACCTAATTTAAATCTAAAAACTTAAAATTAGGGCGTCTATATCACCAAACCAATGTTACTTATAACTAAAACTCACTGTTTATGCGTCCTTTCGCCAAATTACACTGCAATCCAAGTTTTGCACTATTGCACTGTCACTAACACCACGTGTCCCGATACACGCTTCCCGCTTTCCCAATGAGGGAGAGAGGCGTTCGTGTACTGCGGGAACACAAAAAGACTGAAAATAGGGGAACAAGTTCCCGAAACTCGCGAAACACTGCAGGATGCGAAAATTCGCACTGAGCACCTCGGCACCGTACGGAGCAATGTGTGGAGCACGTCCGCGCGCTACGACGGCCGGCACCGATATATACCTGCAGTCGGGCTCGAGGTGGCAGGCGAGGAAGGCGACGCGGTAGAAGGGCTCGGGGCAGGCCTGCGCGGTACAGAACTTCTCCACGAAGGCCGCCTCGTTGGTGACGTAGTCCGTTAGTGGGTACATATATACCTGCAGTCGGGCTCGAGGTGGCAGGCGAGGAAGGCGACGCGGTAGAAGGGCTCGGGGCAGGCCTGCGCGGTACAGAACTTCTCCACGAAGGCCGCCTCGTTGGTGACGTAGTCCGTTAGTGGGTACATATATACCTGCAGTCGGGCTCGAGGTGGCAGGCGAGGAAGGCGACGCGGTAGAAGGGCTCGGGGCAGGCCTGCGTGGTACAGAACTTCTCCACGAAGGCCGCCTCGTTGGTGACGTAGTCCGTTAGTGGGTACATATATACCTGCAGTCGGGCTCGAGGTGGCAGGCGAGGAAGGCGACGCGGTAGAAGGGCTCGGGGCAGGCCTGCGCGGTACAGAACTTCTCCACGAAGGCCGCCTCGTTGGTGACGTAGTCCGTTAGTGGGTACATATATACCTGCAGTCGGGCTCGAGGTGGCAGGCGAGGAAGGCGACGCGGTAGAAGGGCTCGGGGCAGGCCTGCGCGGTACAGAACTTCTCCACGACGGCCGCCTCGTTGGTGACGTAGTCCGTTAGTGGGTACATATATACCTGCAGTCGGGCTCGAGGTGGCAGGCGAGGAAGGCGACGCGGTAGAAGGGCTCGGTGGCAGGCCTGCGCGGTACAGAACTTCTCCACGAAGGCCGCCTCGTTGGTGACGTAGTCCGTTAGTGGGTACATATATACCTGCAGTCGGGCTCGAGGTGGCAGGCGAGGAAGGCGACGCGGTAGAAGGGCTCGGGGCAGGCCTGCGTGGTACAGAACTTCTCCACGAAGGCCGCCTCGTTGGTGACGTAGTCCGTTAGTGGGTACATATATACCTGCAGTCGGGCTCGAGGTGGCAGGCGAGGAAGGCGACGCGGTAGAAGGTGCTCGGGGCAGGCCTGCAAATTTATATATAAGGCCGCCTCGTTGGTGACGTAATAAATACATATATACCTGCAGTCCATACAGGAAGGCGACGCGGTAATCTCCAGGCCTGCGCGGTACAGAACTTCTCCACGAAGGCCGCCTCGTTGGTGACGTCCCGTTAGTGGGTACATATATACACACACACACACACAACAGAACTTCTCCACGACCGCCTCGTTGGTGACGTAGTCCGTTAGTGGGTACATATATACCTGCAGTCGGGCTCGAGGTGGCAGGCGAGGAAGGCGACGCGGTAGAAGGGCTCGGGGCAGGCCTGCGCGGTACAGAACTTCTCCACGAAGGCCGCCTCGTTGGTGACGTAGTCCGTTAGTGGGTACATATATACCTGCAGTCGGGCTCGAGGTGGCAGGCGAGGAAGGCGACGCGGTAGAAGGGCTCGGGGCAGGCCTGCGCGGTACAGAACTTCTCCACGAAGGCCGCCTCGTTGGTGACGTAGTCCGTTAAATTATATGCAGTCGTTAAAATTGTAGATTCGTTGGTACGTAATCAGTATATATGCAGTCGGTCAGGTGGCAGGCGAGGAAGGCGACGCGGTAGAAGTCGGGGCATGCGCGGTAGAACTTCTCCACGAAGGCCGCCTCGTTGGTTTTTATAAAGTATTGCTCGAGGTGGCAGGCGAGGAAGGCGACGCGGTAGAAGGGCTGCAGGCCTGCGCGGTACAGAACTTCTCCACCTCGCGTAGTCCGTTAGTACATATATACCTGCAGTCGGGCTCGAGGTGGCAGGCGAGGAGGAGAACTCGGCCTCCGGTACAGAACTTCTCCACGAAGGCCGCCTCGTTGGTGACGTAGTCCGTTAGTGGGTACATATATACCTGCAGTCGGGCTCGAGGTGGCAGGCGAGGAAGGCGACGCGGTAGAAGGGCTCGGGGCAGGCCTGCGCGGTACAGAACTTCTCCACGAAGGCCGCCTCGTTGGTGACGTAGTCCGTTAGTGGGTACATATATACCTGCAGTCGGGCTCGAGGTGGCAGGCGAGGAAGGCGACGCGGTAGAAGGGCTCGGGGCAGGCCTGCGCGGTACAGAACTTCTCCACGAAGGCCGCCTCGTTGGTGACGTAGTCCGTTAGTGGGTACATATATACCTGCAGTCGGGCTCGAGGTGGCAGGCGAGGAAGGCGACGCGGTAGAAGGGCTCGGGGCAGGCCTGCGCGGTACAGAACTTCTCCACGAAGGCCGCCTCGTTGGTGACGTAGTCCGTTAGTGGGTACATATATACCTGCAGTCGGGCTCGAGGTGGCAGGCGAGGAAGGCGACGCGGTAGAAGGGCTCGGGGCAGGCCTGCGCGGTACAGAACTTCTCCACGAAGGCCGCCTCGTTGGTGACGTAGTCCGTTAGTGGGTACATATATACCTGCAGTCGGGCTCGAGGTGGCAGGCGAGGAAGGCGACGCGGTAGAAGGGCTCGGGGCAGGCCTGCGCGGTACAGAACTTCTCCACGAAGGCCGCCTCGTTGGTGACGTAGTCCGTTATCATATATACCTGCAGTCGGGCTCGAGGTGGCAGGCGAGGAAGGCGATTTGTTTGTTAAGGGCAGGCCTGCGCGGTTTCTCCACGAAGGCCGCCTCGTTGGTGACGTAGTCCGTTAGTGGGTACATATATACCTGCAGTCGGGCTCGAGGTGGCAGGCGAGGAAGGCGACGCGGTAGAAGGGCTCGGGGCAGGCCTGCGCGGTACAGAACTTCTCCACGAAGGCCGCCTCGTTGAGTCCGAAGTCCGCGCGCCGCGGCAGGAAGTCCGGGTCCGCCGACACGCGACCGATTATCTGTTTCATTCGTTCAATTCATTCACCTCAACTTTTAAGCCTAATTTACATTAAGCATTTTAAGACAAGCGTTTTATTTGTACGTTCTAGTTCATTTTTGCCACCTCCAGTCCATGTAACTGTCCTTCCCGCCACGCAAGTGGCTCATACGGTACGTGTAACCCCTTAGCAATGAAGCTGTTGCGACTTTCGAGCTGTCGCAAGTGACTCTTACGCTATGTGTAACCCATTAGCAATGAAGCTGTTGCGACTTTCGAACTGTCGTTACCTGCAGCGGCGCGTGTACGCGACACGTGCAAATTTATATATAAGGCCGAAACATTTTAATAAATACACATTCTTATTAATCCATACCGGGAATTAATCTCCCTACGAGTCCACCCGTTTCGTCCCTAGGATTTCACACACACACACACACACACAAGACACCGTCCTCGCCGGCAAAGACGACAACCTTAACCACACCATACCGTAATCAACCGGGCGCTCCACACCGGTGCTCCCGTCGCCCCTCCGATCGATCTCCAATTCAAACGGGGATCGAAATTACGACTGCCTGAGCCGAGGTTCGAACCCCTAAGACTAAAGTCGTATCCGTTTTACTAGTAAATTTATTGTTAAAATTGTAGATTTGTATTAATCAGTATTATAGTCAGTCAGTGGAAAAGTATAGACTTTTTAATATGGTTTTTATAAAGTATTGCTGTATATACGTGTAGTGTACCTCGCACAGTATGATCCCGAAAGAGAACACGTCCACCTTCTCGTCGTACGAGTTGCCGTTCATCATCTCCGGGGCCATCCAGTACGGGTTCCCCACCACCTGTGAAACAATCCCATCTTTAAAGAATGAATGATACTCATACACATTATATAAACGAGATATTCGCTATGATGATAGTAATGTGGGATTGTTAGTAATGTGGCCTGTTGAGCCCATTGCTAGCAATGTACCATATCAGATTGACTTTCACGCGGTGCCCTCTGTAAACCATACTGGGAAATTTATCAAGATGGCCTAACTGACCTGACTTTATGCTCATTTTATCATCCGCCACTGGTGTGCCGGTAGCGCAGGCGGGTGCATCATTCCATTATCATGCAAAGTTTTCAAGTGTTTGTTTGTTAAGTAGTGTTTCCCATCGGTGGAGCCACTCCCCACATGTTGGTCCCCCATTTGATTATTAGGGGGGCAATGCGAAAATCGACTCTATATGGAATTTGAATTTTTCATTATATGTTTTGAAAATGTAGTTATTGTTTCATTATTGTTAATGTGTGTCCTAGTGATTTCTTCCTAAAATCTAACATTTAAGTTTCTTAAGTGTCTCAATTTTTTAATGTTATGAATTATGTATGTTACATAGGGGAGAATGGGGCATAAGAAGTTTAGAAAGGTTGGGGGAAATATTTATTTAAAGGGTACTTAATGGCGGTAAAAGGACCCGGTTCAACAGCATGGTCCCGTGCGGTGGTGGTGTACAGTGTACCGCTGCTGTAGGTGTACAGTGTACGGACCGTGTACCGCTTGCGGCGCAGCGTGTGTGCGTGCGCGGGGGGGCCGGCGGTGGCGGCGCGTGCTGCCCGCGGTCTCTCCAGCGTGCTGCTGGCGGTGCGCTGCACGATGCGCGCCAGGCCGAAGTCCGCCACGATCACCGTCTGGTCCTGTGCACATCCCATCAATTATCATTAGGATATTTACCAATAATGTATTTAAACATATTAATTTAAAATTATATTCCACAAAAATGAAGTTATCTAACTTGTTTTATTTTATCTAAATATATATAACTCAAAGGTGACTGATATAGTGATCTATCAACGCACACAACGCACAGCCCAAACCACTGGACGGATCGTTTCACTCGGATGCTGAAATTTGGCATGCAGGTAGATGTTATGACGTAAGCATCCGCTAAGAAAGGATTTTGATTAATTCTACCCCCAAGGGGATAAAATAGGGGACGAAAGTTTGTATGAAACGTCGTCAATTTTAAACCGATCGGGCTGAGACTTTGCATGCATAAAGCTACCATGACGTAGGCTAAGAAAGGATTTTGATAAATTCCACCCCTAAAGGGATAAATTAACGCGAGCGAAACCGCGAGCAAAAGTTAGTTATATATAAGTAGGTGAGAAAACATTATCAATCGCCAAGATAATTGTCAAAAATTTGCTTATTATTAGCTGAAATATCAACTTAGGATTAGACAACTGTGGATGACGTTCCTGCGGTGCAGGTAGCCCACGTCCGCGTCCTGACGACCCAACACTCCGTAACAGTAGCACAGTACCTCGCGCACGAGGCAGTTGTGCGAGTTGAGGTCCCTGTGGATGACGTTCCTGCGGTGCAGGTAGCCCACGTCCGCGTCCTGACGACCCAACACTCCGTAACAGTAGCACAGTACCTCGCGCACGAGGCAGTTGTGCGAGTTGAGGTCCCTGTGGATGACGTTCCTGCGGTGCAGGTAGCCCACGCCCGCCGCCACGTCCCGCGCCAGCCGAGCCCTGGCCGCCCAGGATAGCGCCACGCCCGCATCCTGTCCAACCAAACATATCTATGTTAGAAAGAAGTCCAATTGGATCCACTACGGCACTGCATAGGTGCCTACACGGATCGATGTCTCACCGTAAAGCTAATAGATCGAGTCTGTCACAAAGACGTTGGTTATCAATGATTCTGGCCGCTTAGTTCTGAATGGTATCAAATGATAGTAATAATATAATAATCTCAGGACAATCACACAACGCCATTTAGACCCAAGTAAAGCTAGCTAAATCATGTATTATGAGTACTAGACAATAGATACTAATACATTTTTGTAAATAAATACATGTCGCAGAATCAACAAAGAGGCTCAATTGGTTAATTTCTACTAGAATAGCGCCATCTATTATCGTTGTCGGAAACGTCAATGGGTTTGCTTGTGTGAGGTCGGTACAGGGTAAAGCAGTTTCAACAACCATTACGATACTACACTTTTGAATTGGGCGCGACCGTGAGTTGTGCTGCACTCTGTACCGAACTTGCCGCGTTTCCCTGAATAATCCATGTTCATCTGGCTGATTGTTAGTGATTTTATTATTTTGTTATTGGGAGTGAGTGAATAGACGATTATATTTTGAATTAAGACTATTATTTCTTGCCTACACCATGCCCAACATGGGTTCTGATGACGAGGTATCCCAAATAGAGGAACTACCCTCGTTATACATATTATACATAGAAAACACCCAGACCGACACAAACAATCATTTGATGAATACAAATGTTTGTACTATGCAAGGAATCGAAACCGGGACCTTCAAAAGCAAGGCGTAAGCCTCTAGAGCACAGTGGCCGTCATTTGACAATTTACACAATGTCGGCTAGTCCCAAGTTAAGCAGAACTTGTTTTATGGGTACTAGACAACAGATATAAATACATAAAAACATTTTTTTTATAAATTTAATATATAATTTATTTATTTATTAGTCGATTAAACTAGTCCCAAGTTTATATAGCAGAACTTGTTATATAATAAAAAGGGATATATAACTAGACAACAGATATAATAATTTGTCTCTTTATACATAAAAACATTTTTTTTATAAATTTTTAATATATAGAAAACACACAGACTGATACAAACAATAATGCTAATGATTACAAATATGTATACCATGCGAGGAATCCAACCCGCGACTTCGGAAGCAAGGCGTAAACCTCTAGAGCACATTGGCCGTCGTCTTCGGTACCTGTATGAGATGGTGCAGCGTGCCACCGGCGACGTACTCGGTGACGAGGTGCAGCCGCTTGTCCTTGTACAGCACGCCCACGAACCGCAGCACGTTGGGATGCTGCAGAGACCGCAGCACCGCCACCTGACGACAACAATAAAGTGATAAACAAACACATTCAGGAGAATAATAATAATTTCAGGACAATTCACACAGCGCCATCTAGTCCCAAGTTTAGCTAGTTAAAAATTGTGTTATGGGTACTAGACAACTGATACAAATACACAGATATTTTTTCCTTTATATCCATACGTAACGTATGTAAATGTAGTCAAAGATTACGAGAAAGACCGCGCACCCCGCTTGCTTGCGTTTTAATTACAAATACTATACGATACAGACTATTTAAAACAATGCAATAGAATATGGCTAAATCTGCGTGTGAGTGCCACACCAATACAAAATAGCTCATAGGTAAGTGTGGAGAAGCACTCAAAGAGCAAAAAACTGGTTTTCAACCATACATACACAGCGCCATCTACACCCGAGCTAAGCAGAGTTTATGTTATGAGTACTCGATAACTAATAGTAATAGTGTACCTCCTTGAGGAAGTTCCTCTGCGTGAGTGTAAAAGTAAGTAATAGTGTACCTCCTTGAGTGTAAAAGTAAGGAATGGTGTACCTCTGCGCGTCCTCGTCGACCCTGTACAGCTGCTTCAGTACCATAACCTCGTTGGTATCACGGTGGGTCACCTTGTACACCTGCCCGAAGAAACCGGAGCCCAGCAACTCGCCCTGTTTACAACAGTTGTATTGATTAAACCTTTTTTGCACAAGTATGTTGTATTATCACTTTATTGTCTGATTCTGAACTACTGGTGCCTGCGGCTTCGTGCGCTTGTATTACAATTACATAACCTCATTTGTTATTTGTTATTGTTTTTTTCTGTTTGAACTGGCAAAGCAGCTGATATCATGCCTTGTATCCTGTAATTTTACTGTCTAAATCTGGACTTTACAACCAAAACAGCTTACAAAGCAAGCTGCTAGGCAGCTGAAATAGGTGACGCTAAGAACGTAGGCGATTTTTTACTGTCTATCTTTGGTATATACGTGGGATATATGAGGATCGTTTGAGATGTGGATTCGGGAAGGTGTGCCTGTTTGTGTGTGTGTGTGTGTGTGTGTGTGTGTGGGGGGGGTGACCTGCAGGAGGTCGGCGGCGCGGAAGACGCGCGGGGGCGCGGGCGCGGGCGCGGCGCGGAATGATCGCGCGCGACTCAGCTCCTGCAGCACGCCGCTGCCCTCGTCCTCCGCCCGCGACCACGTGCCCTCCGAGCTGCACAAAAACACAAAACTTAATCGACTTCAACAAGTTGCCCCTGGACTCGATGCCGGACCAAAGCCTCGCCTCTAGGTTGACATAGGTGGGCGCGGATACCTAGAGTCAGATATTAGGGTGCCGCTTATCTGATTGATTGACCAGTCCGGTCGACTCTGATAATTATGACTGATTTCTTTTGTTACTCGAGTAACTATTCACTTATGTCAATTTTGCTATTTAGTAGATTGCATCTTCCGTCCGTACGGTACTATTACGGGTACTGATTGAACTATTTCTTTTTGACAATAATGCAATATTATGCACTACATTCTCCCTAATTGAATTTAAAAATGAATCTGTATTTTAGTAATGATGTACAAGCTCATTAGAAAAGAATAAGTTGATTTTCTGGTCAGTTCTGCTAGCTCTAAAGTACTCTGAACAAACATATACAAACTCATTTGTAAAGAATACGAGCAGAGTGTCTTGTCAGTTCTTCTCATCTCGAAATCATTCCGAACTGACGGTAGATTTGACATATCATAAGAGTCTGTAATAGACCTACATGAATATTACAGATTTTCTTTGCTTCCTAATGAACACTTCACTCACCTCACGTCAAGTAATTTCGACATGCTGCTACTGCGTTCTTTATCACCCAAAAGAGGTGATGACGGCGTCTGCCTCCTCTTCAGCTTCACTTTCCCACCGTCCTCGCCTTTCCTTTTAAACAGGCGTTCCTTTTTCCCGCCATTGTCCTCTGTATCTTGTCTTTGGTCGTTATCAGTGCCTTCATTGGAATGTCTAATTGGAATGTGTTTCTTTAAGTCTTCTCTTAATATTTTCCTCTCCACTGGCGATTTCACTTCATGTTTCGGCTTCTCTTCGAGATCGGTGGTTATTTTGCACATTGGCCTTTTATTGTTGTTTGTTGTCTCTGGGTTGTGCTCTATGGTTAACTGTTAAAACACAGGACAATGAAAAGTAAACATTTTAATAATGAAGCAATGTTTATTTTATTCGGTTATTGAACAGTCTGCTGGTCGGGCGACCGTTAAGAAATGTTGTTAAAATGAAAGAAGAGAGCTTGTTTTAAAAGTAAAATATAATTATTCAAATTTCTATGTAATTGTCCGTCTTTTTCCTTGTCGTGTCTTGTCAATTCTTTCGTCTGTCTTAGTCACGTCTTATAACCGGCCAGCAAGCAATCCTGTCAAAAAGGCCGCGACAGTTATCTAATGCGTGTGTAGATACAAGACAATTTTACCTGTATAACAGCATCAGGCCGTGATAGCACCTTATCTATCTCGTCGATGGGCCGGCTGCGTACCGGCGTGCCATTTATTTCTAATATTCTATCGCCGATGTGTAGCGTCAGCAGGCCGCACGCTGAATCGATTCTAAAACAACCAATAATTACACTGGTCAACTCAAGTTTTGTTTCTTTTATTTTCTTCTGAGTATTTTGGGTATTTTTATGGCTCAGAGAAAATACTGGGAGAGAAAATACGACTTTTTATATGCACAGTTTTATCATTTTGATGAAAAAATATCGATTTCGATATTTTACATATACCTAGGTACATATATACACAATACACATACAAAACAAATATAACAAAAACAATCTGGATTAATTATACATCTTATTAACGAAGCCATATCGAAAACAACAGCAAAATGTATTTCAGTGTTCAATAAAAAACGCAAATCTAAGTTGTACATAGTAAATGAGTGAAGTTAGCTGTAACTCAAAAACAAAAGCTGTGAGAGAAATATTGTTGCTATATTCAAATTGTTTTTTTCTGGTCTTCGACTGACGAAGTATTGTTGTATCTGTTGATAGTACGATATACGAAAATACGGCTGATACCAAGCTTTTGAAGTGTCTGGAATATGACCGACGGCTCCAGACCCACTTTGTGCAAGGCGATCACTGCAATCTTATTTTAACACACCATTCCATATTGTAATTTGATAATGAATACGAAAAAATATGTGAAATGGCGCAAATACGAAAGAAGTTTTTAAAATAACTATATTTAATTGTACTTTACATTCATGAATAAAGTTTATTATTATTAAAAAAATAATATACGCGTCCCAAATTCAAAATGATTAAAAAGTTGAAAAAAAAAGAAAAGATATTATTTAGAATAGAATAGAAAATCATTTATTCAAATAAACTTACATTGAAGCACTTTTGAATAGTCATCGCATTTTTTTAATCTACCGCTCATTCGGAAAGCTGTATCATCACAAGAAGAACGAACAAGAAACTTGTGTGTTGCTCTTTTAAATAATTTTATACTTACTTTACATTTTTAAGTTTAAGTGTGTGAATACAAACTACCAATTAACACTATTTTATGGCCAGACTAATTATAATTCAAAATTAAATGGATATATTATAAGAGTGAGAATATGTGTTACTTGAAATGAGAATAATAATAATAATCTCAGGACAATTCACACTATATTGCGCCATCTAGTCCCAAGTTAAGCTAGCTAAAGCTTGTTATGGGTACTAGATAACTGATACAGATACATAGATAATTTTTTTTTTCGTAAATACATACATATTATACATAGAAAACACCCAGACCGATACAAACAATTATATTCATGAATACAAATGTTTGTGCCGTGCGAGGAATCGAACCCACGACCATTGAACGTATAGCGGTGTGCTAAACCGCTAGACCACCGAGGTCGTCAAGAATGCAGTGTGTGTGTCATTTCTAAGGCAGGATAGTTAAAACTTGTGTTATACGACAATGTGACGTCACTAGTCAGTGTTTTAAACACGTGCAAACAAAACAGACAGGTGATTGGCCACGTGATGCAACAGACAGGGAAAATGCGGGATGTTCCCACACTGCACTGCACTGCACTGACGCAACACCGTCATTAGTGCGGTTTTTTTTCAAATACATTAATATGTGATGGTATTGTAGAAATATGTATAAAGGGATAAATGTTTTAATGCTAATGGTAGATAATGAAGTGACATATTTATATAATTTTGTTTTATAGTTTAGTTTTTAATTAAATAATACAAAATATAAACTTTAAATCTGTACATCTATACATATAAATAAAATTGGAGTGTCTGTTTGTAATATTGAAATAACCGTTTTTTACGACATGCCTACGAATATAAATATGGTACATACACCAAAATAACATTTTTCACAATTTTTGTTCATCTGTCTGTTTGTTCCGGATAATCTCTAAAATGGTTGGACCGATTTTGACGGGACTTTTATTGGCAGGTAGCTGATGTAATAAGGAGTAACTTAGGTTACTATTATTTTAGAAAAATAAAGTTAAGTTCCAAGCGGACAAAGTCGGGGGTACAGCTACCATATTTATATTAAAAGAGTTTCTCAATAGATGGTGCACCCGCCTGCACTGATGGCATACACTGGAAGGGCACCGGTATTATAGGAGGAGTGAGGACGAGGTCAGGTCAGTTATATCGTGGTGAATTCACCAGGAGTTAACCACGATGGTGTCCGTAGAGTCGCGTGGAGGTCGACCTAGTACCTTGTTAGTAATGAGTTACCGACTCCCCCATTACTACTCTAGTGACGGTAAAAGATGATACGACGAGGACGAGGTCAGGTCAGTTATATCGTGGTGAATTCACCAGGAGTTAACCACGATGGTGTCCGTAGGGTCGCGTGGAGGTCGACCTAGTACCTTGTTAGTAACGAGTTATCTCCTCACCCATTACTACCCTAGTGACGGTAAAAGATGATACTGACCTCGTGTCAGGTCAGTTATATCGTGTTAAATCCACCAGGATATAGCCACAACAGTTTTTTTAAGTTTAGTAAATAAGTAATTAAGGTAACAAGCCTGGAATTTAATATTTGGGAATAGGTATTATTAATATAAAAAAAACACGATAGTTTCCGTAGGGTCGGGTGGAGGTCAACTTGAGAAATTGTAATAAATAAACCCATATTACAACCCTAGTGAAATATGAATAATTACAGCCTAATTTTGAACAATAATGTTGTCGCAATCGAGTGAGAGAGAACTCAAATACTTAGCTGAGTGAGCACAAGTATGCCTAAAAGTAAACTACGCATCTATAACTCTTAATTGTAATAGAATAGAATAGAAAATCATTTATTCAAATAAACTTACATTGAAGCACTTTTGAATAGTCATTACATTTTTTAATCTACCGCTCGTTCGGAAAGCTGTCTCATCACAAGAAGACCGAGCAAGAAACTTGCGTGTTGCTCTTTTAAATAATTTTATTATTACTTTACATTTTTAAGTTTAAGTGTGTGAATACAAACCACAAATAAGCACTAATTCATTTAAATACGCAAATAGAAAAAATATTGAAGATATAACCAACTGGTTAAACAATTAATAAGGGAAATCAGTCATAGTGATTAGAGCAGACCAGTCCAGTCTCTATAGTTTATGAATAAAGACGATTGATCAAATTTATTTTTAGTCAATGCAGTTTTAATTACATAGCATGCACGAAGTTCATATATATTGCATATTAGCTGTTTACGAGAAATTTAACTTTTTTTTTAATATATTTTTTTAATGTATTATATATAAGAGTTGTATATACGATGCACCATTCCATTGTCATTTATTAATTAAAAAGTTCATGCATTGTTAGGAAGGAGACCACCCATTACTACTCATTACTACCCCCCCCCCCTCCCTCCATCAAGAATGAGACCACCCATTACTACCCCCCCCCCCTTCCACCTCAAATACATCTAAAAATTAAGTAATATCGTATAAGTATATCACCTTGTTTCTGACGAATGACACATAAGTAGCGCCGATGTAATAGTGCTGCTTACCACCACTCGGATTGTCAGCTTGCCCTCCATTCCAAATTCAAATTGTATGGTTTTTTTAATAACTTACTTTAACTATTATCAAAAACCAAGGCAGTAATTGAAATTCTCCATTCGAAATTTGAATTGTATAATTATTTTTTAATAACACAATTGATTTAATAACAATGTCTAAGATAGTAACTGAAATTCTCCATTCCAAATTCAAATTGTATATTTTTTTATACAAAAACAATTTAATTATTATCAAAGACCAAGACACTAATTGAAATTCTCCATTCCAAATTTAAATTGTACAGATATTTTTAAATAACACAATTTAACTATAATCAAAGACCAACAGTAATTGAAATACTCTATTCCAAATTTAAATTGTATAGATTTTTTTTAATGTAACACAATTTAATGATTATCAAAGACCAAGACACTGTATGAAATTGAATAAACAAAGGAAGGCGTACAAGGAAAACTATGCATATTATTGTAACGCACGTACGCACAGACACGGCGACAACCCACTGACTCAGGCATCATTGAGCGATCCATTGGACGACGAGACGGTTATTATTATCCTCGTAATCTAGACATATAATAATAATAAAACAAGTAGGGAGCTGTCAACATATTACGTCACACGCGGGGGAGATTATGGGGGGGGTAAAATAAACGTGGGCATCGACCCCAGTATTCCAGAAGCTCGACAGCGAGGCATTAGGGTGTCATCAACAAATTAAGTCACACTAGGGGGTGGAGGGGTTAAGATCAGCATGGCCATTGACTCATCGTTTGCCCCAGGATTGTTGTTAGGCCGCAATAGGGAGTCATTGGGATCTAGGGCTATTCAGAAGTTAGACAGCGAGGCATTGAGGTCCGGGTCAACAAATTAGGTCACACGCGGGGGCGGGCGGGTTAAGATGAGCATGAGCATCAACCTCATAATTGCCATGGTTGTTCTTTGTGGTCGATAGGGAATCATTGGGGCCTATGGCTATTCCCCTTACGCCTAGATGTGAGGTCCCTTAGATGGGAATCAGTGCAAGATCTTGGGCGAATGCGATAGCGTTCCCATGGTTGATGAAGAAGAATATCCGGCAGCTTTTTAACCGGTAAGAATCCGGCAGTCTCTCTTGGTTCCTAAACTTGTTGGACTCTATGAAGATTTATATGACGTAAAAAAAAGAAGACGACAGGGTTGTTGACAAAGTGTGACAAGAGACCAAAGCCTAAATTTTGTGACGTCACATATCAAATCCATCATATCTTACTACTAAGTATTAAAATAAGAAATTTGAACTACTAACGCAACACTTTAAAGAAATACCTAATAAGATTTTAAAATGTGACAAGTTGTGACAATGACGTCATTTGTGGGTGGCCGCTAACTACCTACTACTACTAAACAAAAAATATTTTATGTAATGAAATTTATTGCTTAAATATGGTTTTACATTGATGGTTTAACATATATTATTTCTACGCATTATTCATATCTGACATGCAATAGACAAGAGAGCATGCAATATACAGAAAGCTACATTAAATTACAATAATTGCAT